CGTGAAAATTATGGCGGGAAAATTCATAACTCGGGAATGAGAAAAGCTAGAAAGTTGAAACTTTGAGAGAATGTTCCCTACTCACGCAGGACCAAAAGTTTTCAAACTCAGCTCCTTAGGACCGCTTGGGACTCACGTATGGGCACGTGGAAATTTGGGCGTGAAAATTACTAACCCCGGGACGAGAAAAGCTAGGAGGCTGAAATTTTACGGGAATGTTCCCTATTCATGTACAATCAAAATCAGTTGTTTAGAAGCGCCTGAGACCCACGTACGCTACATGGGGAAGTTTTGGTGTGCAAATTACTAACCCAGAAACGAGGGAAGCTAGAAAGCCGCAACTTTAGGGCAATTTTTCCTACTCACGTACGAGCAGAATCAAGTGTTCAGAAGTACCCGGGGCCCACGTATGGGCACGTGGAAATTTTGGCGCGAAAATCACTAACCCGGAATGAAAAAAGCTAGAAAGCTGAAACTTTAGGGCAATGTTCCTTAATCATGCATGACCAAAAGATTTCAAATTCAGCTCCTTAAAACCGTCCAGTACTCACGTACGAATTACTAACCCAGAAACGGCAAAATTTTGATGGGGAAACTGCTAACTCGGAAACGGAAAAAAATGAAGGCTTTAATTTTAATGGAATGTTCCCTACTCATGTGCGATTAAAAGATTTCAAATTTACTCTTCTAGTGCGGCCTTTTTCGCGGACCAGCAACTTTCCATCTGTTAGATCACTGAAGCCGGCATCTACAACTGACATGCCACATAGCTGCACAATTAACTTCTTGAACTTCGAGGGCCAGTATGTCACAGGGTTAGCCACTGTGATTCTTTGCGATCTTGCTATGGTACGAAAAGTGCAAAAACGCATAATCGCACCGGCCGCCTGGTGCGTTCCAGCCTGGGTTAAAAGAATTAAGACTGGCCGCCAGAACTATCATGAAACATCCCTTCAAAATTGCAGTCTTCTAGCTTCTCAGGTCCCCCAATTAGCAACTTACCCGAAAACTTCCTCAGGCCCATATGTGAGAAGACTCATACCTGGGGGTTAGGTTTGAGTTCATTAATACCTACGTGAATGAGGAACATTCCCTTGAAGTTACAGTCTTCTAGCTTTTCAAATTCTCGAGTTAGCAAATTGCCCGAAAAAAATTTCCGCGTGCTCGTACTTGGGTACCACGCATACCTTTCGTCTGGGTTTGAACTCATTAACACCTACCTGGACGGGGAACATCCCCTTAAAGTTCCAGTCTTCTAGCTTCTCAAATTCCCGAGTCGGAAAATTACCCGAAGAAAATTTTGGCGAGCCCATACGTGGGTACCACGCAGGGAAGAGCGTCCATTTTGGAGGTGGAGGCCCGTACCTGCATGTAAATTAAGTCACGAAAGTTTCAGCCCTGTAACTTTTGTAGGCCTCGATATGAAAAATCGGTATAGACGCACAGCGCACAGACAGACACACACACACACATACACACTGATAAACCCTCGTCAATATGCGTTTTCTGCATTGCATAGATGCAAAAAACGCATATTGTCGAGAGATTGTCTGTGTGTGTGTGTTCGAAAGCGAGTGAACTCTGTTGTCATATTCCCACTCCATGTGTCACCCTCCCTTTTCAAAATTTTCGCTAATACGCGCCTAGATCTCGTGTATGGATCCCCGAAAGAAATATGCAAACTTCTTTGGTGGGCAGGGCAAGATTTCGCGGACCATGCCTGGTGCATTGCAGCCTGGGTTGGACTTTTTACCCTTTCCCATAAGCTCCATCTGTGTTTCCAGTTCCAACATCCAAGCTGAATTCCAGCTCCTTTCGATCAAATAACCTTGCCTTTTCGTTATGATCCCCATGACCTGTGATACTACTCCCGGTCACCAGTCTCGTTCCTGTCCCGCCTTCAGCCCTCTACTTCTCACCTTCGGGTCATTGCAGTGCCCCACTACCATCCGAAAAGAGCCAGTTGAGTCGAATTTTAGTAGTACTTATTTGCAGAATTTCTTTCGAATTACTCTGGATGGCAGTAAAGATGGGCAGGACGTATTCCTCAAAAATTATGTGTCATTTAGTGCACCAGGAAATAACTTTTCGCTGGGATGACGGCAGGTAGAACATGCTCCAGCGGAGCAGTAGCACACGGCTCGGGATCGAAGGGCCTGGCTTAGCTGCGCCCGAGTGTACGAGCGTCCCAGTAATATCATTAACATAAGATTCTCACAGTGGTTGTTAGGGAGGTTTTTTTTTCTCAGTGACAATGGAAGCAATTTCAGCTGGAAGCTACTGGATCAAAAATCAGAGAAAATCGGATTTAAAGAAAAAAAAATGTTAAACAGTAAAGTGCAACTGTATTTGTTGAATCAGTGTGCGTTGGATGTGTAACTCATTTGCCACATTAATTTTTAGAGGGATGAGTGTGGAGAGCGATGAGTTGCTTGGAAGTGTTGTGCTGGACCAGGCTGCCCTGCTGCTACTTGAAGCAGCCGAGTTCTTTCGCACTCACAACCCTCCGAAGTATAAGGCCGCCATCAAATGTGTCCGGGTAAGTGTATTTTCATTTACTATTGGGAAGATTTGCAGAGTTTGTCACCAGTGAGTGTGCATCGAGAGAGTTCTTGCAATACGCAACTCTGAAGTTCCTAGTTTCTCCTCGGAACATAGCATCCCATCTCCACTGAAGAATAAACAGCCTTTTTCCATTTGTTTTTTTTTTTTTTTTGCAAAATGACATAAAAATACGCAAAATGACCAAAAAACATAAAAAATTGCATTACAAGGGTGACAAGATTCACTCTACGACCAAACGAGAGACGTGCAAATTAGCGGAACTTGGAGAAGTTGCTAGTTGCATCAACGGCGCGAAGAAACGCAATAAAGAAGTAATAACTGGTCATAGTATTAAAAAGATGTTTCGCCGTCTGTGTTGTATCGCGATGAATATAACGGGGCTGTTTTAGGCGGCCTTGAAAACACCGATGACGCATGAAATGACTGCATTTGTACACTATCAGCTCGGCAAGCTGCTTTTCTACTACACAAAGAATGTGGATCTGGCGCGTTCTCACCTCCAACTTGCTGTGTGTTTCTTATCCTTTGCATATTTCGTGGTTTAAAATTTGATCAGTTTTTTAGACGTACAGCCAGTTTGGCTAACTCAGGAATTTTGAGGATCAAACTTGTATGTTGTTGAAATCGCCAGCTTAGCCTGCGGAATTTAAGGAAAGCAACTCCAATTTTTATGTATTTTTGTATATATGCAAATGTAAAAATGCATATTGCAACGATTCTCTGTGTGTGTTCGTTTGTCCGGATATTTCAACTCGGCAACCATGCAAGTTCGGGCGTCAAAATTTTGCCAGTTGGTACCAACCCTCACGCATGTCTGGGGCCCGCGTGTGGGGGCGCGAAAATTGCTAATCGGAGACAAGAAAAGCTAGAAGGCTAAAACTTTAGAGAAATGTTCATTATTTGTGTACGACCAAAGGACTTCAAATTAAGCTTTTTAGAACCGCTGGAACTCACGTACGGGCACGTGAAAGTTTTAGCGAGCAAATTGCTAACTCGGGTATGAGAAAAGCTGAAAGGCTGGAATTTTGAGGGAATATTCCTTATTCATGTACGACTAAAAGATTTCAAATTCAACTCTTCGTGGAGTCTTTTTCGCGCACCAGCAACCTTCCCTTTCTCGGATCACTGAAGCCGGCATCTACAGGTGACATGCCACGTACTTGCACAGTTAACTTCCTGAACTTCTAGCTAGTGTGATACCTTGCGACTTTGTTACAGCACGAAATAGTGCAAAAAAGCATGATCGCATCGGCTCACCTGGTGCGTTCCAACCTGAGTTTATGTAGTGTCTTACTCGACATTTTCGTCTTAAATAGCCCGGCTTTTTTATTTAGAAATACCAGTTCCATATCAAGAAATCTAAAAATTCCGTTCTTTTTGAAAAAAATATCTGGTTTTTATCCAATATTTTACATTTATTCATCAAACTGAATATGAGTAAGCGCCATGTACCTCTGAGAAGGTTCTTTTCTATTCCACTTCGAGCAAAGATGCATATAATTTATGTATAATTTGAAGGATTCCACTGGGATGATAGGCCGTCTACTGAATTCTGTTGCAGTACCATGGGATGAAAGAAGCGGGCTCCAGTTACGTGAGCTACCGAGTGGAGATTGCATGCTTACTGGCCGAAGCATATTTGCAAATAAAGGCCTTGGAACCGGCGAAGCAGTTGCTGCGACAGGAATCTGCTCATTCACGTGATTTTCCAGTATCACATGCACGCATTCTGTTCCTGCTGGCGGTAAAACTTCGCTTTTTGTTCACATCACGGAACTATATTTTGAGCTCTCACTTTTCCTTGGTCTTTTGTTGAAAAGTGGAGTGCTGAATGTGTTTAGTCACATTGTCATAGCTAACAAAGATTGGATTTGTTACGTTTGGAGTTTCTTGATATGGATTTGTTAAAGTGTCCCTAGTCTGTGCTGTAAATCTTCCAATGAAGGACCCCTTTAATGGATTATTATCTTACGTTCATTTTACACTGTGGGTCTCTCACGGAATTTGCCTTCACAGAACTTATTATCAAGATCTAGAGTATGGACTTTTGCAATTTATAAACTGTTTGTAGCTTTTTGCAAGTAAAGAAAAAAATGCAATGCGAATTCGTTAAATGAGTTGTAGAATTTTTCTTTTTATGGAGTATGAAAAGGCATGTTAACAGTATCTTTCTTGGTTTTCAGTTCCGTCATTTGACAATCTTGAAATGTGAAGTTTTTAAGATTTTAGTCTTTATCCTTTGTTGTCTCCATTTTTTCCTCTTACAGAACGGCTTGTTTTGCAGGAAACACATGCACTGATGAATGACTGGAATAATGCCAGCGAAATCGTTGATGCCGGTGCTTTGCAGTTTGGCCAGTTAGGCGATCCAGCTTTGGAATGCTATTTCCGTCTTTCTTCTGCTATGGTTTGTCTTAATGCTTGTTTCCTGTCCGTTTGCATCCAAAGAAGTTTGCCAAAAATAGTGATTAGATGTCATGAAATGTTTACACATTCGAGAAGTTTCAGATAGTATCAATGGATCTAAATCGAGAAGAGGAACTGACGAAAAGAATAACGGAAGTGAGCAATAAATTGGAGGCTGTGAGTGCCGATAATCCATGCCTGGACTACATGAAGGCGTACTGTTACGTCGTTCAAATTTGCTTCTTCATATCCACTGGTCAGGTGTGTCTTCTCTTTTCGCGCATTTTTTTTCGTTTAGCTTCTTTTTCTGATTGTTAGTAGCAAGCGATTTTAATGTTTTCGTACTCCATTGCGACAATTTGTTTTTAATAATAGTTAGCAGTTTTCACTTTTTAATAATTGTTAGTAGTTATTTTTAATAGTTTTTATGGATTTGACAGATGTAGCCTTGTTGTAACTGCCTTCACGCCAGCGATTGAAATTGTAGTCTGTCCATGAATGAAGCTGCGCTATCTGCTATTCAGTGTGTTGGTGGTCTTGGTTTTTTTGTGTTTTTGCAGTGCAACGGTGTGGCGCTGCTACAGCCAACAAAAACGTATATTGTCGAGAGGCTGTCTGTGTGTGTGTGTTCGGGAACGAGTGCATTTTGTCACCCACTTTCATCTCAGCAACCAGGAAAGCT